GGCATTTTATTCCTATCAACTGCTTAGTCCAGAGTACAGAGAAATAAATCCTTCTCTACTTAAAGCACAGACCAGTAGCTGAAAAACACAGATGGCTTTCTCTCCTGCAAACATCAGCACTGGAATTTCAAACCTTTAAGAGCTTAGAAAAGCTACTTGGTGAATGTCTATTTTCTTTGAACTCGAGCTCTCTTCTTGCTTTGCCTTAGAGACATGTCTCTGCTCTCCAGATTCCCAATATGCAACTTTCCTCATTACACAGCAGAAATTTTACTAAGTGCATCATTGGTGAAGTCGAGTCAAGTCAAAATGCCAATTTATTTTTTTTTAATATAGAAATAGAAAATCATTAAGTCCTCCTGCAAGTTTCAGCAGTCAAAGCCAAGAGAAGGAAAGTCTCTAAGTGTCTGGGGAAGGATGCCACTGAAGTTAGTAGCGTGACAAGCTGTTGAGATTGGAACCGGTGAATGCGCAATATAAGAAATAGGAAAAGGAAATATTTCGGATCGGGAGATGCCAAAACTGCAATCAGCAAATGGAAGGCTAAAACTGATGAGCAAATCTGGATGCTTTTTTTATTATTTATTTTTATTGTTTAAGCTGTGCCATATAACAGTCTTGTTACAAGAAACAATCAATAACAGCTCCTGCCCGCCTCGCTGCAGTGTCGGGCGCACACCTCCACCCCCGTCCCTTGCACCAGGAACTCAGCTGACGTGTACAACATCCCGCTCCCGTCTCCAGATGGTCAGTGCCTGCAGACACAAACTCCCACGTCCGTGTGAGGTTTGAAAAATCTGGATGCTTAAAGCCGAGGGGATTTGTGACATCAAATACAGAATTTCAGAGTGTGCCGGGGAACAAACGCACCGCTGAGGCTGTGACAGCATCACGACGGCGGGTACCGCTGGGCCACAGCGCGATAGAGGGGTCAGAGGGACGAGCACACCTACACTATAAGCAACAAGGCATTTGCTGCCAGTAAAGCAGGAAGACAACAGGTGAACGTAGGAGAAGCAGCCAGGACACACACACCACTCTAAAGGACTCAAAGCAGTGGGATGACGTGTTGACGGCGTGAAACGTTTCTGTTTGAGGATAGAAAACGCAGAAGAATTGGTTCATAAATTATTCTCTGTTCTGGAGGAAGAGTGAATAGACTTGAAGGACAGGTGATGTCTCTGAAATATGTAAATAGAGCTGAGCTGGCCCAAGCAATTACCTTTCCACTGCCTGGAACTTCAGACTGAAAGGAATGACTCACAAGAAAGAACAAGAAGCTAAAGATGTGCTAAAAGGTAGAAGATGACGAAGGAAGACTGCATCAAGAGCAGAATGGAGACAAGTATGGAAAAAGTATAGTCCTGACCTTCTACTAACAGCTGTTCTTGGGAAAAGAAACAACCACCTACAACAAAACACACTTAAGACCACGGCAGCACAGGAAAGCCTAACTGCAAAGCATCCAGAAAGGCAATCGTGATCATTGGTTCTAGACTTCTGGGTTTAAGATAAACACAGCACAGCGATTCCTACAGCTTCATGAACGTAAAGACAATGGATCTCACCTCAAGATCCTTTAGGTTAGTTGCTATTTTAAGGTTTCCCTAACAAACAAAATTGCTGAAAATAAATGCAGTACAATCATTTCTTTCCAAGTTTCAGACAAAGCTCTGAAATGAAAGATGAGGCGTGACTATCAGACAACCTGCTAGTAGTGAGGGTGAAGAAGAAACTAAAAGACATCGAAAATAGCCATGGAAGTGAGCCAACAGATGTGTCTCTACTATCAAAAGTGGCACACCAGCTTCACAGAGCAGACAATAGCTGTGCCACTGCCTCTGCATGTTCAGTTGTCTCCTAATGAAGTGCAAGTACTCCAAACTCCATGCAGGAGCAGGAAACAGAAGGTTGGATTTCGGCTGCTACTGGTGTTCTCAGTGCTTCTGAACACAAATTCAGGGCACTCCTACTACATCAGAAAGTTTTTACTTTGGTTTTTCTTTTTCCTGTCCGAAACAAGCAAAGATTACTGAATTATAGCAGATACAGTCTGATGCTGGAAATGTACTAATACAGGAACTGCAAGGTCAATATGAAAGAACGAATCCATGAAGAATCAAGAAAAAAGAATAAAGAAGTGGATCTATTTGGACTGCATAAGAAATACTGCATTTAGTTCCATTTTATTTATTAAGAAACACTGACAGCCTGAAAGCTGCAGAACAGCAGCAAATTTGCTGGGAAGAAAAAAATGTACCTATGAAAACAACAAGGTGTTTTTAAGTTTCAAATTTGTATATTTGGTACTAAAGGATCAAGATATTAAAAACCTTTTGCAAATATATGAAACAGGAGGCTGAGAAGAATTTAAGATAACACACAAGAACAACTTTAAGGGATAAGGTGAACTGTTGAAGAGAAAATATGTAGGTAATATTGAGAAAGCTTTACAATAGCAAAATTCATAAAGCTGCACAATGAAAAATTCAACACTGTTGTCCTGTAATTACTGTTTCTGATTCATAATGATCTGAAAGCTGAACTTTTCAAATCTGTACCAAGCACTTTATACAGCTTTTAACCAAACACTAGAAGTATTTCATTCATCATCTACTGAACGTACGAAAAATTCAAAATGAATCCAGCAGATGAGTATGTATAGGAGACACAATGACAGTGATGAAGCACCTTGTAATGTACTCAGATCTTTTCTATAAATCCAATTTGAAATTTGAAGACTAAAATAGCTACTATCTCAATCCAGAAACACATATGGTCATCATTTTAAAGAACAGAGCTCCCTCTCGTGGCTCCAGAAGGTAGATTTGGTAGGGGGAAAAAAATAAAAAAAGGAAAAGAGCACAGAGCAGCATGAGACAGACCAGAGAGAGAGGAAGAAAAGTGGAATTAACAGAAAGACGTACTACCTTCTGATAGGATTTTGGTTGTAGAAAAGTGGAATTAACAGAAAGACGTACTACGAAGGACAGGTGACTTCTTTTAAAGAAAGCCATGTCACCTGTGCTTTAATGCTAACTTTTAAGTTTCCTTCTCTGCTAATGTAACTTCCTCTGCTCAGTCTTTCTGCACCTGAGTGTATTCCTTCAATGTCAAGCCCTCAGGTCTCTTAACTGGTTTCTAGCTCAGTCATAGCAAAGGCACAGGAAAAGGAGAGTCAGGACAAGAAACTAAACCAGATAACATCCTATGGATTTTCCTCAGTATTATAGCTCCATGCACTGAGACCACACAAAGCAAAAAAAATCATTGGCTTCAAAAAGTCAAGAAATATACGCATAGTCACATGAGTGAGGGAAGCACATCTATCGAAATGCTGCAACAAAAGCATTTGAAGAAAGAAAATCACATTTCTTTAAACCACTTTGACAACCCAGCCCTGCCACCTTCACAGAAGCTTCTGCTCAAGCTCCAGCACCGCTCTCCTCCTGCAAGCCCACACTTCTGGCATCACCTATTCAAAAGGAAAGGACAGAGCAACACACGGACGAGCAGACACACTGGTGCATTACCCAGCACGGTCCAGTTTGTGCCGAGTCCCAGGGACAAGTTTATGCAAGGACAGCAATGGGAAGAAACATGCTCAAGCGCATTCATTCCTCACCTTAGGGGCTGCAAACCATTCTTTGTTTGCTGTATGGCTTCTTTAAAATATTTATTTAAAAAAAACCCCACAGATTATTCTACTTCTCTAGCTGACAGCTTTGTAACCTGAAGGTCGCACCTGTGACAATAAGTATTTCTCCGAGGCAAGAAAGTGGAAGGAGTACCCAAAGCTAAGCTTGTCACCACACGTGAGAAGTCTTTATGAACAGAAGCTCTACTCAAAAATTGAGGAAAGTGTTTGGTTTAGGTTTTTTTTCCATTGTTTAATGAATATTCATATGTTTCAGTTTACACTGGTAGACACTTTCTTCATTCACAATTGTACATGGATTCTTTTTAAATTATTTGATTTCTGTATGAGAATTTTAGATTGGACAAGAATTTACACAGCATGTAGCTAGTTTTTGCTAGCTGCACTGCACAGCATATAAAACCGTTTTCCCCCAAGGGCATTAAAAAGAGTTTCCTCTAAATAACAATATTTCTTTGCTGCAAAACCAGAATCAACGCCGTGAAACATGAACTAGTGAAGAAAAAACAATTGATAAGTCTCCAGAACAGCATCAGAAGACAACTGAGAAGCAAATCCTTGAGTCATAGGCTTGTGCTCACACAGGTTTTTGCTTCCGAAGCACAGCATCAAAAAAGAACCAATTTCCTACCGTGAAAAGAAGTTACCATGCCTTCAGCATTTTGCTATTAGTAAAATATCTCCAACCAAAGGCAATACTTTTTCTAAAGAGCAATTCTCTTCAAAAAAAAATATAAAAATCAGTCTATAAACAGGGAGATATCCTTAGATATTCAATCAAGTAATAAAGCTGGTAGATGAAAGACAGATTAATTAAAATGACAGTACAGTCTCCCCATAAGGCACACATACAGGACTTACAAATACACTTGTTATGTTGGAGTACCTAATCATAATCAGATTTGGTAATTTGCTGCATGGAAACAAAAAGGAAACATTTTTAGAATTGATCATTCAGTTCATGTCACTTTCATGGAGATTACTTTGTATTGATCAACATTTAAATAGTAGTTGAAAAGGGAAAGATGAGAAAAGGATAGAAAGTATCTTTACATGCTAAATACAGCATGAACCAATAAAAGCAAAATAAATTGGATCACTATAGCCAAACCAACCCTGTGCATGTGCTCACTGCAATGAAGATAATTATGAACGAAAGAGATGGTTCTTCATGTTTCAGTCATAACAAAAGGAGAGTTTTAAAAATTAATTTAGACTTTAATCTGCTCAAAATGAAGTTTGCCACGCAGCAATTAACATCTGTGTGAAGCTGAGCCATTGTTAGCTTTACAAAGACACAAATGCTGGTTTGTTTTCTCAACAATATTTTCATGTTTCCTACCTGTGGATTCCAACTGGGGTCCAGTTTTTTCACTGTAGCAATATACTCCTGCATAGCTTGATGAGGGCTGGTGTCTCCCAGGGCTTTCCAAGCCTCCCTAGGAGAGAGAGCAAAACATCAGCGAGCCGCTCGGAGACAGCACAATGTGGTTTTATAGTGTCACCAGTAGAACACAGCAAACAGATTCATCGAAATATTTCCAGGGGGTGCAAAGCCATCTTTCATTCAGTTTGAAATGGTCCATTTTTCTCTGAAATCATGAATGGCCACTGCCAATGCACCACTCTGCTGTGAAAGGATCTTTCAGGGGATCCTGATCCAGGCTGGAACATAGTTTGTGTTCACAAAGTAAAGCTGTTTGTAAAGCTGTAGCTATTTTTTTCAAAAATTTTGTTGTTTGCAAGCTAATTCTGGATCAAGAAGGTAAACACAGGACTCTGGTATTTCATGTCTGCACCAGGCAGAGCAGCAAACATTGCCCCATTCAACAAAGGATTTTAAAGCCAGTTCAGTGGCAGACTCTTAGAGTTGACATCCTCTAGGTCCACAACCTGTCAACAGATGAGACAAGATGCAACGAAAAACAGAGATAGAAATTGCTAGGAATTGCAAGGATTTCCTCTTACCATTTCTGCTTTCCCTCAAAATCAAAGAAGCTTGGCTTGGGAGTGTTACAGGTTCCAAATTTCACCTAAAGAAAAGAAATTTCCTTATCAGAACAAACCAGAGGGAAGGGGACTCACACGAGGAAATACTGGGTTCTGAGAGTTTCAGGGTAATTTTCTTCTTGTACCAGAGGAAAGGTTTTTGAGGGAAAGAATTGACACAACTCAACCCCGTTTTACCCTCATTTTGGCTCTCTTGCAGCACCTCTGCACCCGTTTTCTTCGTGTGATGCAAGGGAAGCAATTTTGTTTGCAGCTCATTTCTTTTGCATGCATTACCCAACAGGGATAACCAGCAAGTGATTTCTCACTTAATGTTATGTTTATTACCCAGCCAAATGCCTCATCCTCCACCAATATCCAGAAAAAAAATCTCTTGATTAGGGTTTACTACAGAGATGATCATTCATTAAGGCTGAAATTCATCTGCTTCCACACAAAGCTCAAGTAAACAGACTTTGCTTAATTATTTTCAAGGTCCTCTGGAAGGCAAGGGGACAAACTCAGAGCAAAAGAATTCCAAGCAGCTTCTGAATTTGCTTCGAGGCATCTGGCTACACAGAAAGCACTGAGTGAGAGACAAGTCAAGGCTTGAGTACCAGAGATGAACCAACCTGTCAGAAGCGAGCCAGTAATCAAAATGTGTGTGTGTGGGGGGTGAAATACGAAACACAAGGAAGCAAGGGAATGAGCCAGAACTGGTGGATAGATATATGGAAAAAAAAATTGTATAGTCAGTGTAAAACTGACTTGGTGCCAGCGGGATTCAGGCAGTTTTCTATAGGGTGGTGTACTAATGGGACCAAGCCCTTCCTCTCATAGCAGGGAAGTTTAGCAGCTGTATCTCCTTCGTAAGCTAGTCCTCAAAGGGGAACACAGACTGACAGAGGCTACACCTGCCCAGGGCTCCAAAGGCACAACCACGTTCCTGCAACAAGGCCAGCGCTGACAAGTGTCTCAAGAACAGAGCAGTTTGCAGGTTGAGATTGGGGTAACGGGGATTTTCTTGAAGTCAGCTCAGAAGAAGGTGTAAGTGAATGAGCTTCCGTCCCTGCCTGGAAGAGCTGGGGAATACAGGTCAGGACCCACCAGGTCTGGCTGTTATCAGTGCCCCTTTTCTTATAGAAAATAAAGCCCTTTGCACACAGGTGTCACTGGTAAAATGAATCTAACTGAAATGAAAATATTGTGATAGGGAGTGAATTTACACAAAACATGGGGGTTTGTTTCCTGTTGTTTGTTTGTTTGGTTTTTTTTTTTTTAAAAAATAAACTGCTATATATCCCACAGGGAAGAGGGATGAAAGACTGCAGAAGCCAGAGCAAAACCACAGCTCCCAACGCAACATCCCCGGGAAACAGTTATCACAGCAAGTCCCCGTAACACAGGGCACAGCCCGTGCCAAGGACGCCCAGCACGGAGCGGGTATTTAAACAGACCCCAGGGGGGGAACATAGGTATGTTCCAGAGGTGGTTGAACATTTTGTTAGCCAAGCAAAACCAAACTGCATTCATCAAACGCTTTATGAAATATGCTCAAGTGTTCAGGCAGGTGAAGTGCTTAAATCAAGTCACAATTCTTCACCTTAACAGGGTGGGGTTTTTATGCTGAGGATGGAATCATCAATCAGGCTTTAAAGAGAACACGTTCACGCTGAGAGATATTTATTAGTTACACTATGTTTTCATTTAAAGTGTTAGAGGATATGAGTGACTGTAACTGAAACTAATTTTCTGTACATCTGACTGTCTCCCAGTGAGCAATTCATTCAAATTAGAACATCTTAGCTGGCCTTTAAAACAACGTATCGCATTCCATGGAGAAACAGGAGAAAGAGCTAGCAACAGTTAAGTCCTATAAGTCAGTCATGATTCATGTTGTACCATAAATGTTTTCTCCTGTGCTCAGAGGTGGACTGGACGACTTGTGAAAAAAAAACAACAAACAAACATGGAAATAAAATGCAAATTCATTATGTGTACAGAAAGTGCCAGCTTGGCAATTCTTTAGTTCAACATCTAACCTGCAAAAATTGGCCAAGTGGGATAAAAATCATCTGTTTTAATATTAATTTTCCACTACCATCATCAAAACACGACAGCAGTTTCCCCTCTTTAGATTTGGCATTCAAAGGCTGTTCCAGCATCGGGAAAGTCTGTAATCTTGATAGTAATACAAATCAAGGAACAGTAGTTAAATTTCATCCATCAAGAGGGGAAAAAGTGCATTTGTGCCCTCTTTGCTATTTTAAGATATATTAAAAAGGCTTGCAATGGGTTTGTTGGAAAGAAGAAAATAAAGGTTTTGGCTTCCTCCTTTTTGCTGCAAGACTCCATAATGCATCAGAAACCAACCAGGAACCTAACATTAGAGGGGACCCAAGCCTGAGAGCTGAGGAAGGGGAGTTTTAGCTAAATATGCCAGTGCAAATTCATGACAAATACTAAGGTGGGGGAATTTTGTGAAGGATTCTGTCCTCCTGCTACTTCCCAGGAGGGCCACAAAAGCTGTTTTTCTCCATAACCAGCAGAAAGACAAGAGCCCGTATTAGTATTTCAAGTCAGATTTTCTCATTCTGTGTCCACAAAATAACTACTGGTGGTCTCCAGTGGACTGACTGGTCACTTGATGCTTAGGCCTCCTCATTTACAGTTCATCAGTTGCATTAAAAAAGACAGCCAGAATGCATTAAACACTTTCTTAGTATTGCTTCTGGATGCAGAATCGCCTGCAGACATTATACTCATGAATCGTACAAAGATGACCCAGGCAGCTCCAAATGGGTGTCTGCAGGCGTCTCCATTTGTGGCCAAATTGGAAATTTAGAAACCTTGGATGAAGCCTCTACCTGAGAGCTGAAGGTCACAACATTCAGAAGAGTGCTCAGATACGTGTCAGTGCTGCATACCATCCCCATACACTCTGGACCAGCAGTTGAAGTTGAGAGTCATATTCTACAACTGATTTTCCTCCCATCCTGGTGAGGGGGATTTTCCCCTTCTGGGAACACTGCCTCTTCACTAATTTTTCAACCAATACATTTATACAGCAGGGAGTTCCAGCCAAATATTCTTAACTGATTGTAAATCTTGTAAGGTGAATCATATTTGCAGCCTCCCTATGGAGCTGTAACAAGAACAGAACTCATCTGCATGGGCAGCAGGACTAAGCTCTAACTGTACGCAGGCCAAGTGAGCTGGATTTCTTTGGCAAGACAGAATTCCTGCCCAAAACTCTGCTCCATTAACCTGCTCCAACCCACAGGAAAGCCGTGTACTCAACTGACTGAAAGTGAGGTGTAAAGAAGCAGCAGCAAACACCAACTACAGAAGGCAAGGGGTCCTGGTCCTGATGGCCAAGAGGCTGCACGTCCCATGGAGTGGCATTGGCGACACCGATGGCCAGTGCCATCACACCACTCCATGCAACAGGAAGCTGCGGGCAGAAACTCTCTTTTTCAGGGCAGATTTGTAGCATCATGTTCTATAACAACTGAAAGACATCATGCAAAAATGTGATCATCTTCTTGAGCCTACACTCAGAGACAGCATAAGCCATGTTTTGCCAGCTGCATTGGGTTTCCAGCTTGTCTGCACCTCTCAGCATTACCTTTGGCACTGGCACATACTCCTGGCATGGCAGGTTTTTTTCAGTTCAGTCGTTGCCAGCAAGTTCTGGATTCCCTCCCTTCTCTGACTGATGATCACTACACATTGATCTCCATCACTAGTTTCTGAACATCGTTTTTTGCATCCTCAACACAAGAGGCAAGCACTATCTTCCCTTCACCGCCACAGACTAGCAATTTGCCCAAAGTCACACAGAAAGCAGGGGGAGAAAAAGAATATCGGTCCCAGTCCAGAGCCCTACCGACTAGTCTGTTCTTCCTCCTGTTCTGGGGCAGAGTCGTAAACTCAGCAACATCTTCTAAAAACCTCACTGGAGATGACAACTAAGCAATTCTCTTATCTTCCAGTCTCTGACACATAAACAAAATCAGAGAGAAAAAGTAATAAAATCTTGAAATGGCCTCCAATAAAAGGTAATAAAATTCCAGGAAAACGCCTATATACCCAAACAGTTTGAAATAAATAATATACAGTATTTTAACAGAGAGCTCAGCTGTTACTGTCACCTCTTTTATGATGGTGCTGTATCTTAAATCAAAGCCCGCAGCGACATAAAACACTAAAACTGAGGAAAGACAAGGATGCCAAATCAGGGACAGTGGACAGATCCGAGTCAGCACCTTTTGTGCACTAGCAATACGACTGTCCACCGGAGTAATATATGAGCAGCCCATTATGCATATGGATACAGCTGCTATAATTAAACAGAAAAAACTCGCATTAAGCGCCCTCGTTTTGATTTAAAGCACAAAACGCTGCAAAACTCAAAGTTTGCAGGGCCTAATCCTGCAGCAGCTGCGCTAGCAAACTTCTCCCAGCACTGCCCTCCTCCCAGGCACTCTGTAACAGGGATTGCAACTTTCTGGATAGTGCTGGGAAACCTAGGAGCCAAGCACAGCCTGAAACCAAGCCGCACAAAGGCACTTGCTTTCACGTCCATCTCAGCCAGGGACAAGTGGGACAGAGAAGGAGAGGACAGAAGTGTCCTGTTCCCCTCAGCTGCAGGCAACTGGATATCTGTGCTGACGCAGTGTTAATTATCAGCTTTTTCTGACTTGTATCAAAACTGCTGGGAAACAGCTTCTGATTTAAGTAATTTTCATCATTAAACACCTTGTTGGTCTTACAGAGCTAATGCCAGGAAACCCTCTGGAGTCTGTTGACAGCTACGAGCTGATATGCAAGTAACATCTTTCTATTTCCACCTAGGATAGCTATAAAACATATGCAATGGAGCAAAAATAAGAGGTTATTTGCAACAAATCTCCTGAGAATACAAACAAAAAATTACAGCAGAGACTAAACACCCTTTTTTTTTTTCATCTCATCCTAAGCATGGTGTTGTTATTCTTAACAGTTCTCCTAGTACTTTTTTTTCCTACTCTCCTTTTTCTTA